AAAAGTCTGAATGACTTCTTTTTTTAAAAAATTGGTTTTCATTGATTTGCTCTTAAGTATATTTTGGATAAAAGGGCTTTTTCAAACACAAGAAAAACTAAATATTTCTCCCTATAGCCCCAGCTGGCCTAGAACTCACTATGTAGACCAGGCTGTCCTTGAACTCACAGAGATCTGCCTGCCTCTGCCTCCCAAGTGCTGGGATTAAAGGCATGCAGCACCACATCCAGCCCTATTTATTATTTTTCAAACCAAGGATATGAATACGAAAAGATGTCAATAAAGAGAAAAGTACTGAATAAACTATCTTTTTTTAATCAACTTGGTCAAATACATACAATAATAAATAATGTGTGTACATCTTTTCAGAGTTACCCTGAACAAATCTTCTGGCAAACATTATCCTCTCTTTTGGACTGTATCTGCTATCAAAATGGATCACATTGGAATATACACTGTGATAAACACCTTTTGGGGGAGGGCGGTGTTTAACTAGAGAGCGATCCCAAAGACCCTGTATACGCTAAAGATATGCTCTACCACTGAGCTATAATCCCAGTCCAAAGACTATACATAGATAAATATTTAATATGGTAAATAAAAGTATCTATTACATTCTTTACACTTAAATATTACTGGTTAGTTTTTGTCAGTGAGAGGACACATGAGAGGAGGGAATCTCAGTTGAAGAACTTCCTCCATTGATTGGTCTGTGTGCCTATTTGTGAAGCATCCTCTTGATTACTGGATGATATAGAAGAGCCCAGGCCACAGTGTGAGGTACCACCCCTGTGTAGGTGGGCCTAGGATGTATAGGAAAGGTTGCTAAGCAAGCCAAGGGGATCAAACCAGTAAGCAGCATTCCTCCATGGTCTCTGCTTCAGTGGCTGCCTGACTTCTCTCAGTGATAGGGCTCACCTAGGAGCTGTGAAGTGAGCTAAACCCTTTCCTCCCCAAGTTACTGTTGGCCAGTGTTTTAATCAGCAACAGCAACATAAAGCAAACCAGGACAGTATATTCCCATTATCTGTATCTCATGACATCAGATAAGAACATTTCTAATATTTATCTGTACATTCTATTTGTTAAGCTCTAGGCAGCAAATTTTACTCCCTTTTGGTCATTAAACAGATAAATACCACCACCAATGCCACAGACAACCCCCCCCCAAAAAAAACTTATGAAAAATTAATTTAACTCAGTTCGTAAATCAGCTCAATTTTCACACACACACACACACACACACACACACACACACACACACCCTCTAAGAAACTAACAACTTTTTTTTGGACAGGATCTTCCTGTAGCCCCAGCTGGCCTGGAACTCACTAGGTACACCAGGCTGACCTCGATCTCACAGAGATTCACCCGCCTCTGTGTCGCAAGAGCCAAGATTAAAAGTGTGCACCACCACACCCATCCTCTAACAACTATTTTAAACAGTATTAGAAAAGAAACATAAAGGTTCCTCTCAGGGAGTTTGCTCAGTAGGTAAGGTGCTTGTTGTGCAAGCATGAAGACCTGAGTTCAGGTTCCCAGCACCCATGTGAAAGCCTGGCACAAGAGTGCATGCACATCTGTAACCCAAGTGGTTGGGGATGGGGGGGGGCACATGAGGGTGTGATGGGAGAGAACCCCAGAGCTCACTGGCCAGCCAGTTTAGCCATATTAGGTTAAGAAACCCTAACTCAATAAGGTGGCAAGCAATCAAGGAAGTTACCTGATAGCAACCTCAGATTCCCCTGAACACACTGCACTGTACACAGGAACCTGAACACATAACCCACATATATAATACCACACATGCGCTAAACAACTTTAAAACTTAATTTCTGTAAAACTCAACAACTTGGCTAAAATCAAACTTGTAAGGACGTGAATGGAGTATGAACCCAATTTCTTATTCTAATTCTAATTCTAGCACTACACTTGTGATCCAAAATTGACCACTGAGAGTCAAACACAAAGGACAGGTCATCATGCCTAATAGGGTTTTTTTATAGCTAGTGCCAATTTTTAAAATTCACCTGCGGTCTAAATTTTCTTCTAGCTGTTTATGATCTCTTCAGAAATATATCAGTTCTGAACCATAAGAAAACAAAATTTCACATTCAATCATGAATATAAGGTCTAAAAATAATCCTGCTGTACAGAGGTCTGCAGCCATCCATTTACAGCAAATACTAGGAAGTCCTATTCTGTCAGAGCATCTGTATAACATCATCACACCACACACATCCATGTACACTACTCTTTTCTAAAAGCATTATCCTTTTTGGGTACAACATAACCTAAGTTGTATATAAACATTTTTAATCATAAAGGAAGTTAAGTATACAAGAAATGAAGAAATACTTTAAAGAAGTTCATGGTGATTTGGCAACAATTATTACCAGTCCTCAATTTATCTACTGCAAAAACAGATTCAAAGTTTTCCTAAGTTAGGTCAGGTTAATAAGATCTTACAACTTTAAGAATGTCATGTTAAACTCCAGCTGCTGCTCAGTCCTCCCTGCAGCAGTCTTCCTCTCTCACAGACATCCACAGGCATGTACAGAAACACTATATCTGAGTCCCTAAGCTAACAGACTCCCAGGTGTCAGGATCTCTCCCCCTCACCCAAAGAAGTGAGTTTCCTGCTCCCGATCCCCTTCCCTACCTATTGACCCCTGCCTGGGAATGAGAGAGCCTAACTGCAGACTGCTCTGTGAAACCACCCCCACACTCAAAAAGGTGTAAGAAGAGACTTCTACTTCTGCAAACGTAGGCTCTGATTCCTCTATCCAGAGCCCCTGTCTGCTGTCTGTCTCTGGTGTGGGGCCTGAACTCTCTCTCCTCTGAGCCCCTGCCATGTGGTTTATCTATCTATCTATGCAGCAATAACTCTTTTAATAAACTACAGTTCTAAGAATCCAGCTCAATGTCTCTCTGAATCCCCCAATCTGAGACCTTTCAACTACTACTTTACTAAAACTAAGAGAGACAAACTCAAGAGACAGCTACTAATGAAATCTCTGATACTTAATAATGTTAAGAGAGTAAAGGTTCCAAGAGTCAGGAATTGTCAGCGGAAACTCTCACCAAAAGATAAGTTTTCTTTTTCTTTTTAAATTATTTTACTTATTATTTTTAGGTGTTTGAGTGTTATGCCTGCATGTATGTAAGTGCACCCATGTTGTGCAATGCCTGTGGAGGACAGATGAGGCTATCGGATCCCCTGGAACTAGAGTTACAAACAGTTGTTAGCTGTCATGTGGGTGCTGGGAATCAAACCCAGGTCTTCTGCAAGAACCGTCAGCATTCTTAACTGCTGAGCCATCTCTCCAGCCCCGTAAGTTTTCATCTTAAAACTTATTTGAAGCTTCCGGAAGTAAGCAACTAAGTCCCTCACCCTAAGGTGCCCAGACAGTAGAACAGAATTGAGATTGTGTACCCTGGGCAAGGAGTTCAGTGGCTAAGGGCACCCAGACCTGATTTCCATGCCCAGCAACAAACACATACCACACACACAAATAAACAGAAAAAAGTTTGTAAAAACCAGGGTCTGGAGGGCTGATCTGGGCACCTGAATAAGGGTTCTGGCCTACTAGGAAACAGCGATTGACCTGTGCTTCTGGCAGCCCGGAGACTCCTGGAGGAGGCGGCTCCTCCCCACACCCCCACGCCCCCTGGACACATTGACAGAGGGACAGCTGCTCGGGTTCTAAGGCTCCTGCTCTCTTCTCTTTCTCCTCCAGCCAGTTTAATTTCATCCCTCCCAGCAGTTCCCCTTCCACCCCCCTGGTAACTCAAGATAGTCCTGGCTGAGACCTGAGACCTCCATGAGTGGAGGGAAGAGTGATGTCTCTTCCCCAGCAGCTAGGACCAGTCCCAGCCCCTCCTCCCAAACCCCTTTCCCTGGGGGAGCTGGGGAATTCCTACCAAGCACCTTGAATGGGAGGGGGTCCTTGAAGTGGGCAGGTCTGGGGTCCAGCAGGGGTGGGGAGGTTCCTGCTTTGCCCCTGCGGGGTCCCAACCAGTCTGTCCCTTCCATCCTTTCATATATTACCTCACTGGAGATGGAAGATCTTTTATTTTCTACTATTTATAACCTCAGACTTGGGCCCCCTGTTCTTCCCCATTAACTTGAGTGTCCTGCATGAGAGACAGACAGACAGATGCCCCAAGGACTTTTACTTTTTTTTCCTCCAAGTTATTTATTAGAATGTCTGACTCAAAACGAACTACAAAGAGCATTCCTAAAACTACTGTGCAGTTTATGCTTGATATGACACCTAAAAACGCTGGAGGACTTTTACTTTTTATTACATAAAAATATCAAAAAAATTAACAAAAATAAATTTTTAAACTAAAAAACCCTGTATATCCTGCTTTTTTTTAAAATTAAGTACTCTCAATCAACCTAGGATTCCTAATAAAACTACTATGATCAGAGGTAAGAAAAGTAAACAGTCAACTTTTGAAGGATTTTTTTATTCTGATTTCATTTACTTAAAACTGCATGCTTAATTAGTAGCAAGGTCTACACATATCACTGATAACGGCTTAGGCTAAAAGGTTAGGGGCATGAAAAGAAGCTATTTGTAGGCCTCCTTTTACAGCGGTCAAGGATATGTTAATCTATGATAAGGAGCCATCAGCTGACACATTTTCACCACTCACTTTATTCTTTAAAGTCATACAAAGTAACAATTTAAGGAAGAGAGATTAGGAAGGGTAATGAAAAGAGCAAGTTAAATACCTCAATTCCAAACAGTGCAGTAATGAGTAACTTAGATGTAAATATACGAATGATCCTATTCCTAGTTAATTTTTAATATTCAACAAAACAATGCAGTACTTAATAGCACAATGATCCAGGAATCTATTTTAGGACATGTAAACCACTAACTAGTATTAAGAAATAAATACACTGATACCCTCCTTCAAACTCACTGTAAAAATAGTTGTAGTCTAGGGGAAAAAAGCAAAGCACCAAGAGCACCCCAAAAACTGACCTTTTGTTGATTGGCTTTTCATCCTTTTCATAGGGCCGAACAAACCATTTTCCGATCCGAACAAAGTTCTTATCCATTAGGCACCTAAAATAAGCATATCAAGAATTACTTTTATAGATCCAATAACAAAAAAGCTAATCACTTTGTCAATAATCTCAGATGAGATACACAAATGAAAACAAAGGCACCACTAAACTGTCAAAATGCTTTCTTATACAGAAACAACTCTACCTTTGGGCATATATTTTTAATGCCTGTGGAAAAAAAAATAAACAAACAAAAATTAGTTGAAGTATTTCCCAAACCTCTCTTGCCTTATTAGTACTTCAGATCACAGACGAACTATCACTAAGAATGTCAGAAACAGCATTTTTCAGGAACTCGCAGCTACTCTTCCAAGCTACATTTGGGTGGGCAGGGGGGTTGGGGGGTGGTTGGTTGGTTGGTTGGTTGGCTGGTTGGTTGGTGATCCAACATAGCACCACTCATCATCTACTTGGATGCTTGTTTCCCTTCTGAGGGCATGGAAAAGCTTTGCAAGAAAGTGAAGAGTTAGAGCTGTGTCTTCAGCAGCCAGGATTCACTCATGTCTCAATTGTGCCTCCCTTCTCTCTCCATTCCATGTCTGCATGTTTCAATGTCAAGTCACAGGGTATTCTTCTGAAGACATGTTAAATAAATAGTAAGTGAGCCCAACTCAATACCAGTAGTGCATACAATTTAAGCCAATGGACAATACAGTTATGACCAAGTTCATTCATGCGCAGGCAAATGACACTCTATCGTAACTCTGATCTACCCACTGGTTGAGATGCTACAATGAGTATTCTTGATTTTAAAAAATATAAAAAATGGGGAGGAAAATGGGCATTCTGAAATTGATGAACTACAATGCTCTCTCAATATTATTCAATGAAAATGTTCCATACTTTGAAGAAAAACTTTCAGAATGCTGCACACAACTCTTCTGTACGAGGTTTGTCTTATCAATGAAAAGCTATAGAATAATTCTTGGCACAATACTCAGGCAGTTCCGCACTTGGTTTTTGCCTGTAATTCCCACACCATCAAGGAGGATGGAAACAGCTCAATCACTCATCCAACTCATTACAGGTTAAATGGGTTAGTAAATGGCAGCAGTTTCTGGCCACAATGTAACTCCCTTTGGGCAGAGTCAATTTAGAACATGGCTACATCAAAATGTCACTGGCTTCAACTGGATTTATTTTGAAAGTGAACAACCTCCCTTTTTCACAGTTTAAAAAAAAAAAAAAAGTAATTTCCAAAGTAACTCAATCCGATTTCATGTTTACAAATTAAATGCACGAGTAACTCAATCCGATTTCATGTTTACAAATTAAATGCACAAGTACATTAAATTTAGAATAGAACCAATGGAACCGATACTCAAGGAAAAGTACACAAGAAGCAAAACTGAAATCGTATTCCCAGATTGTTCACCAGCATGAAGGCTCATCACTGCATTAGCTGACGACACAAAAATAGACACTGCCTCTAAGAGCTGCAGAGCTTAGCATCAGGCTCCTCCGCACACTCCTACTAGCAGTTGGTGCTGCTGCTGCTGTTGTTGCTGCTGCTGCTGCCACCGCCACCACCACAGCCATCACCTTCCACCCACTTTCACTGCCAGGCACCTGCTCACTTCCTTCTTGCAGTCACAGGAGATGGGTGTTACAGTGTCCACTGCTGTGATGAAGAAGTTAAGGCACAGAGAAAATGTCACCTAGCCAAGGTCCCAGGACATCCATAGCAGAACTGAGATCAAATCCAAGGACATCTGATCATAGAGCCAGGACACATTTACATAGTATTTCCTGAATTCTTTCCTCCTTCCTTAAACCCAGGTACATCTTATAGGTCAATTAATGTGAAAGCATTTCTTTACTTTTTAAAGGCTGTTGCTAAGGAATCCCTTAAAGTCGACAGTACTAAGAAAATAAGCAATGGTGCCAACTACATGCACATTATCAAACACCAAACTGTTTTCTGTGCACACAGCCTCACCTCATCGGTAGCACCTTAAATTCATTTTGTAATAAATGCTTTAATAATTTAAAATCATTATTCAGTAACAGAAAATATGAATTCATAGTATATATTTATGGAAATCCAGGGCTTTAGAAAATATTTTTTTAAACTAAGGTATCTTGTTACTGAATATGTCAATGCTGTTGTAATGAAATGCTTCTTCTAAATATGTGGTTATTAAATAAACAATTTAAAAATAAGGTATCAATGAGTAAAGGTCAATATGTAAAAAAAATTTTAAAAGAATACTTCAAAGTCTCTGCCCTTCTACAAAGTAAAAGTCACAATTTGCATTCACCGATTTCACTCTAGAAATAAACAGTTCAGAGCACAGAGGAGCAGCAGAGTCAAGACTACTCAGAAGCTAATGGCACTGCTCAGAGTTCAATCCATGTGAATATATCTCCTGAAGTTCCCCACCAAAGATCATTATTTGTCAGGAAATATCAACAAAAAGCTATTATCATTAATATAAAAACCAGCCATGAAAACTACTGATTCTTCAGTCTAAAGCTGTTTCCAAAAAAGGGTTATAATGGCTTTTATTAGGTTTATAAGAGTTTTTATTAGGTTTACTTGATTTTTAATTGCTAATCAGTTCTATGTGGTAAGTGATTTCCTCCACAGTGAAAGGAAAGACTAGAACACAGCATTATACTGGATAAAGCAGTGTGTTTACTTATTTTGTGTGTACTGGGATGGGGTAGGAGAGTCACACACAACTCTTCCAGAGTTAAGCACAACACAAATGCTGATACCTGATGCTTTTGTACTTAAGCCACGGGAAGAAATGGAAGAGTGTTCTATGACCAAATTTGTGCCTGGTAATACGTTAATTCAATGGCAGATCACAGTAGTCCATGGCCCTCAATCATGTGGGGGTCATAGACTTACATTTAAAAAAATGAAACCAAGACAAACCCTAATAAAAGCTCTTATAAACTTTGCATCCAAAAGATTACAATTCCTTTTTTAAAAAACATTTATTTTATTTTTATGTGTATGAGCGTATTGCCTGCATGTGTGTAAGTGCACCCATGTAATGCAATGCCCAGGGAAATCTGAGAGGGCATCAGATCTCCTGGAACTGGAGTTACAGTTGTTAACTGCCATGTGGGTGCTGGGACTCGAACCCAGGTCTTCTGCAACAGCACCAGTGCTCTTAACCATTGAGCCATCTCTCCGTCCCCTACAATACAATTCCTTAAAGTATTGCAACTCTGAGGGAGATCCTAGGTCAAAAATTCACATATTGAACACTACCCTAATGAGCTACTAACCCTGGAATCCCTTTACCATCCTATCCTTCATCTTCTGATTTAAATTCTTCAGAGCTTTCCACTCTCAGATCAAGCCTACGGTTTCTCTTGCATTTATAAACGAATATTTCACTACTCTGTTGGTGAATATTATACACACATTTAAATACCTATGAAGGTGGTGCACACCTTTAATCCCAGCACTCAGGAGGCAGAGGCAGGAGGATCTCTTGAGAGTTCTAGGCCAGCCTGGTCTACATAGCGAGTTCCAGGCCAGTTGGGGCTATAGGGAGACTCTGTCTCAAGAGATAAAAAAAGATAAAAATAAATAAATAAATACCTATGATGCAACATACTTATATTCTGCTCTGGTAAATGCTCAATAAGTAGCGGACACATGAATGTTATACATACTAAAGACTATTCATAATGTAATGTATTCTCGCTTTAAGCACTAATCATAGGTAGCCTTATATTCGAATTTTCTTGTGTATGTGTTTTCTCAACAATAAGACACTCAGTGAAGAAGAAAAATCTACTTACTTCACTTCTTTGAAGCCTATCACTTCCCAACGCAGCCTAAAATTATAAGACACTCAGCATGGAAGGAATCACATCACTGCTAAGACGTTCAGGAAGACTAACACTAATACTAACTGCATTACTTATATCTGAAAAATATAATTAGGCAAATGTTCCAAGTAAGTTCTAAGATAGAAAAATACTGAAAATAAAATATCCCCCTTTTCTCTTTTTTCAGGGGAGGGGGGGAATCAAATTTATATTAACTTTACAACTCAACCCAGCACAGTCCCATTCCATCTGCCAAAAATTGTTTCAGAATATCACCATAAAGATGCTGAGTATATATTATCAATTAACTTTGCCTATTCAGTAGCTTTAGTTATCACTGGATTTTTCAAAAGTACTTCTTTACTAGTAAGATGGTATAATTCTCTAAAGCAGTTCAACATCATCTTGAAAGACAATTCCGTACAGTCAGATTTACACAATTTTAAGCAATGGTACTAGACAATTATTTCTCTTCCTAATCTTCCATCTCTTCCCAAAGATTACTATTTCAAGAAGAAATGAAACATCTGCCGAAAAATGAAAATAAAATGAAGTTTCATGTGTCTCTGTGCACACCTAAGGTTTCTATGCTGTGCCATATGGCTCTGAATAATTTAACTACAGTGTGCAACTCCAAAATTGGCAAGGCCCACTATCAGTCTCAAAGTCATTGGCAGACCTGACTATGATAACAAGCGCTATGGGCAGCAGCCACAGACTAACTCAGCAAGTCACTTCCCAGATGGGGCAGTGGGAAATACAGAAGGAAAACCACCACAGGCTCCATCCAACTCCTTACAGAGACTAAAAAGACCAAGCACAGAGTTTTCTCTTCCATACTCTCAATTAAGCTGCACCTTAACTTTAACCATGTAGTTTCAGGGATGCTCACACGGGCTGCCTTCTGTCTACCTTCACACAAATCATCCTCACCAGTGTCAAACCCTTACCTCACCTCACCACTTCAACTGTTCACAAATATAGACAAGTTAGTTCCAGACAAGCAAAACAAACTCCTACAGTAGAGGAGATGAAGAACCCTTTCCCAATGGTTCCCTGTACCTTCACTACCTTGGACTTGCATGTTGACTCTTGTAACCAGGTATAGCCAGTCAAGGCCTATCTAATTACCATCCTCTTGAAGCTTGGGTTCTTTTACAGGCCTAGCCTCCCATGAACTGTGCATTCTATTTACTGCAATTC